GTTAGATCTTGATTAAAGTCTCTTAACTTTGAGTTCAATGTTTAAGTCCCCCATGCTACAAGGCTATCCCCAATACCTGGGCATGAAAGATATATATGATTTTTTAAAAATAATTATTTTATTTTTGACTTTGTTTTTTCATTTCAATTTGACAAGAGAGGAACAGAGTGAGAGAGAGAGAGAGAGAAATGAAAAACCAAGCCACCGGTCCAGCACTTGAACCACGGTTGGCCATGTGGGAGTCCAGCACTTTTAAACACTGTGGCACCTGCTGGCCCAAATATATATGATATTTTTATAAAGTTTTCCCATTAGAATAACTGCTTTTATTTTGGCACACACTAGTATTCTGTGAAATCCTTTGAGCCCACAGAGATCAAGTGCATTTCTCTTTAAGCGATTTGTCTGTAAGTCTTTTAGGTATTTGGAAGCCAAGGTTGAGAGGGAAATGGAAGTGTGCAAACTATTTCCGAAAGATTTTTTTATAGTCCCTCATCCCTACTCACTGTAATTCTGCTACCTTTGGGGAGCATGATAGAAGATTTTTTGCAGAAAATATATTTAGTAATGAGAAAAAAAAAACCTTCCATGAATACTAATGTGTTTCATAAATATTTTATCTTCAATTTCCCATTGAGTGAATTATCTGAAATAAAATGTAAAACTGATTATTTGGGAGATAATATACCACAATCAGGAAGATGGGGACTTTAAAGATGACACAAAATGCCTTTAAAAGGTAGAAGAAAGCATTCCAAATTAGAAGTGCCTTTCCTCCTTCATTGCAGGGTACTGATCCTGGATTCCTGGAACAAACAGAGCCTGAGGCATAAGTTTATGAGCTGTGGCATTATGCTGGAGAGTAACCCCAGGGGAGCAAAGGAAAAGAAAGGAGGGGAGGCAGAGCCCAGCGGGTAGGATGGAGGGGCTTATAGGAAGATTATGAGATTCTTTTTTATTCTCTAGATGAATAAGTCCCCAGGCTTTCAAAACCATGGAGTTCTCTTTTTTTTGTAGTTTTATTTTTAGATTTTTTAAAAAAATATTGATTATCATAATCTTGTTTATATTACATTGAGTTACATATATTTACAGTATATTACATTTCTTTTTCTAGAAGGAATACCTTGCATATCAGTCAAGGAAAAGACATTACTATCCACATCATCATCATCAAATAGCTTTTCATAATTTTTCCAGATTATTATTATTCTCATTATTTTTAAATATTCAATCATTATATTTCATTTTGTTTGTAAAAAGAATTTACCCAACATGAAATACTTCTCAGACCAGTCCAGTTGAGAATACTACACATGTTATCAGCAGGTAATAAACCATTTCTGCGTCCCACTCTTGTCAAGCCTCTCTATTTGTTCTCTTGCTATCCTTCTCTATACTCTTCCCTTCTTCCACCTTGTTCCCCCATTGTCTTCAGCATCCATAACTATCTTCATTCCTTTTATGCCCTCCAGTATTTTGATCTTTACCATAAAGTGTGGATAGTCGGTATATATTAAGTGGATACGTACAATATCTTTCTTTCATATCCTGCTTGCTTCACTCAGTAAAGCCTCCATATCCGACCATATGGATCCTCCATATCCAACCACATTCTATCAAAAGCCAGGGTCTTGTTGGTTTTTATGGCTGAATTGTATATCACTGAGTATATATGCCACACTGTTTCCATCCATTCATCTGTTTGTGGACATTTGGGTTGGTTCTATCTCTTAGGGATCATGAATAATGCTGCATGCAGTAAACATTGATGTGCAAGCGCTTTTCCAACTGAGCATTCTCCTGTCCTTTGGGTAGTTACCCAGAAGTGGGATTGCTGGGTCAAATGGTAGTTCTATTTGTAGATCTTTGAGGAACCTCCATATTGTTCTCCACAGTGGCTGAACCAGTTTACATCCCCACCAGCAGTGTAGGAGAGTTCCCCTTTCACCACATCCCTGCATCATACCACTTTTTTGATTTTTAATCTTCTCCATTCTGACAGGGGTTAAGTGGTATCTCATTGTGGTTTTAATCTGCATTTCCCTTATGGTGAGGGATGTTGAGCCAAAAATGGCTCTTGGTATGGTTTCCTTAGAGAGATTTTTGTTCAGCTCATTTTCCCATCTTTTAATTGGGTTAATCATTTTTTTTTTTCAAGTAAGCCGCTTGAGTTCCCTGTGTGTTCCTGTTATCAGTCACTTGTCTGAGGCATATTAGGACCATGGAATTCTCCAATGACTGTGTTGTTTTCACAATCATAGAGTCAGCCATCTGCAATTCCATACCTCCCACTAGTCAGAATCTGTTCCTCACAGCCATCCTTGGGGTATCAGCAACCCCTCATTTCTCCTGGGCTGGGCCTCTTTGGGTGGCCTCTGGGGCAGCTGCAACAGTGATCTGGTCCTAGTGACGCAGAGGTGTGAGTTTCTCACTAGGGACTTCCAGGGCTAAATCTGTCCCCTGCGTTTCATGTGTGGACTAGCCCTCAGTACCTAAGAATATGACAGATGTAGTTACGATTAGGTTGTGCCAAACAACCCGAGTTCCTAATCTAATATGAATGGTATCCTTACATAAAGGGAAAATAAGGGGACCAGCAGAGGGCATAAGGGTTACATCACCGGACTCCCTCGTAGTTGACTGCAATTCAAGTCTCAGACCTGGCAGCTAAAAACTCAGGTCAAGCATGTGTGAGTGCATGCTCAAAATTTTGAGAGGAGAATGAAAGAGAAGGGATTGTGGTGTGGCCATTCCCCCTTGTGTGTGGGGGGGGTGATTTCTTGCTTTCTGTCTCCCTTGGCCTCTCTGGCAAGCACACATGCCCTATAGCAAAAAAAAATCTCTCTTTTAAAAAAAAGGACATGGGAGGATGTGGACCCAGATGAATGCAAAGGGGGGGATATTATAAAGAGACACATGAGAATATCCTGTGCATGCCAAGGAATGCCAGAGGCTACCAGGTGCTGCGGGGAGGCAAACGACAGAGTCTCTCTCACAGTCACAGCCCTTACATGGAACCATCCCGACACACACGTTGATTTTGGACCTCCCAGTCATAGCACTGAGAGACAATACATTTCTGCTATGGAAGCCACCCAGTCCATAGTGCTTTGCTACTTTAAGAAACTAACATAAGCAGGGACCAGCAATTGGTGTAATGGCTATGTCGCTAGACTCCCATGCAGTCAACCATGGTTCGAGTCCCAGACCCTGTGACTTAAACTCATGCCGGGCGTGTGTGCGTGCATGCCCAAGATCCCGAGAGGGGAATGAAGGAGAAGGGATTGTGGCCTGGCCATCCCCCCTGGGGTGTGATTTCTAGCTTTCTGGGTAAACAACCAAAAAGAAAAAAAAAAAAAAAAAAAAAAAAAAAAAAGAAAGAAAGAAAGAAAAAAAACTAACATAAGCAACTTTCTCTTCCCTACTACTTTCCTTTAAAGGACATTATCTGTACCTTACTAAGACCTTGGCCCTCTCTCAGGGTATCTGCATGGACATTTTATATGTGATTGTGGACTCTACAGTCGTGACCTCTGTTCGGAAGAGCATGAAAGTCAAAAGCTTAGATTTGGCAGTCAGAAGGACCAGTGTTTAATCCCTCGTGAACTGTGTGACTTTGGAAACTAAAAGAAGCATGAACATCTCATCTATTAAATGGGGCACTAACGCTCCTCACCTTGTAGGATTAAGTGAGATCGTAAAAGTAAAGCACTTAGCACAATTCCTGACACATAAGCACCTCAATTAACGAGCACTATTAATAATAGTAGCTATTAGAGGAGCTTCAGGCATTGAGGAACAGGGCTGAGGGTGTGTTCATGGAGTCTTTTCAGCTCCTGAAATTAGACTAGACAGCTGCCTACTCAGTTATATAACTCCAGAGTCACATTTACAGTCACCATTAAGCCAAATACGCATATGACCCCAGTGTGCCTTGGAGAATCTCAGAACATGTAAGATTTTAATGTTAAAATGAAAGCGTTTGATAAACCAAAAAGTGCAAGTGATACTCAGGAACCATAATGCTGCCCCCTGTATGTTTTCAGAGAGAGAGAGAGAGCGCAACAAAAATGGCTCGTGTCAGTAAACCTGGGGCTAGGCAATCGCACTGCAGCAACACAACCAGATCCACATGGAGGGGTCCTGGCTGTCTGTGTCCCAGGGCTTCCCCGAATGTTCCTGTGATCTGGGTCAACCGAGGCCAAGGATAGATGGCGTCACGAGAGCTCTGTCGGAGGTTCCTGTCTCTATCTTAGTATGTCTCTAGCTTAGTTTTTCTCTCTCTCTAAATAAAACAGACTTTAACCAACAATGTTGAGACCAGAAGACCTGAGTCCCCTCCTGTGTACCCACACAGCCATGTGCCAGTGTCTTAGTCTTTGAGTGTCCAGTCCGTTACTGTCACATGTCATGGAGAATATGGTTATTCATATTTTCTACCTCTCTGTGTGGAAGCTTGTTTCCTGTCCCAGTAAAACTTGTCTTTCTGGCCTGCTTTGACTAGTGGACAGTGAGGGAGACGATGCTTATGCTCAGGCTTTTTCTTACCTCTTGATCATGAAAGCATGTGTCACAATAGCACCTCTGATAGCTTGGTCCTGAACGGGTCACCTTTGTGACCTATGAAGAGTATGAACCATAAGCAATAAACTAACTTTGCTGTTTCCTTTTAAAACACTGAAATATGGGACCAGCAGATGGCATGATGGTTACATTGCTGGACTCCCATGTAGTTGACAGTGGTTTGAGTCATGAAGCCAGCGGCTTAAAACTCACTCCAGGTGTGTGTGCATGAGTGCCCAAAATCCTGAGAGGAGAATGGAGGAGTAGGGTTTGTGGCTGGCCATCTGCCCAGGAGGTGTGAGGGTGTGTTTCTCACTTTCTGTCTATCTCTCTGTGCCTCTCTGGCAAGCACATGTGCCCTATAGCAAAAATCCCTCAAGAACAAAATAAATATAAATAAAACATTAAAATATTAGGGTTGTTTGTTTCCACAGCACACTCTAGCCCACTGGAACTAATGTGGGTGGGAAATCCACCATCTGCTTCACTGGCTTTCGTGAGGAGCTTTGCAAATACGAAGTGCCATGTTGGACAATGCTTGAGAGAAAAAGGAACTTCGGTTTCCATGAATTAGCCCTTACTTCCACCAAGAAATTAGGTACGATTAATACTTAAATATTATTGGCAGAATAAAAAAGCAAAAACTGATCAGTCAGACTTTTTTCTCTTGAAGTAGGTAAAGAAGTAGATGTTAAGCAGAATTATTCACAAGACTTAAAAAGAAGCACCTTAGAGGCTTGCTTGTTTAAATCAGGCTCTCCTCCCACTAGCTGTCTCTTCTCTACCTTTTGATTTTTGTCTTTTAATGCATGTTTTCAATGTCTAAAAGGGCTACGTGAAAATTGTGCTTCTCTTTGTATTTGAAAGGAAACTCATCAAATATGGAAATGGATGTTCTAGGCTAAAAACAACTAAAGAGACAGAAAGCTACAGAAATCAATTATTTAGGAGGCACTCATTTGTGCCCTGCCGAGCTCATAATATACAGTGTTTGTTGCATAAAAAGAGTAATAGGGGCTTTTTTTTAATCTACATGGAAAATTCAGTGATCCTAGAGGAAGCTTTCCTTTCATTGTCCTCAATGTAGAAATGATTAGTATAAATTATGAAAAGAAAAAAAAAAAAAAAAACTCTGAAAACAGAGTTGACCTAATATTCCACTTTCATATTATACTTGAGTAAGTGACTGCCAAGAATTCTGAATATTCACTCCAGCCAGACTAATTAAATCACACAGAAGACTTCACCCAGAAATATCTAACTTACCTTCCTCGTTTTACAACCTGCTAGTTCTTCCCAACTGCCCTGGAGATGCACAACAATAACTCACAGATTGGATTTTTTTTTTTTTTTTGAGTCTGAGAGGACAGACTTGCCTCTTCTAATTTGCAAAATGCCCTTTATTTGGTTTGCCCCTTACTGAGAACAAGATACCATTTGTTTTATAAGAGACAACCTCAAGTCTCTTGTCCTCCATTTCTTACTGACATTAAAAGAAATAAATGGTAGTAATGTTAATCAAGGAGGCTGCCATAGCAGAGAAGCTGGAGGAGAAAGCTGGGGTGAGGAGGCTGCAGGAACCATAGCTGAGAGCTGGGCTGTTTTAGGGCATCAGTCAGACCTGGCTGAGCCTTTGTGAATGTGCTGCCTCCTGTAGTCAGTGACCCAGGACCACAGGCAGCTGTGAGACTTCACAGATTTGAGTTCTTAGATTACTGTCATTTGGTCTTAAATTTCTTATTTTGAGGTATTGTCCTTTCAACCCAGACATAAACGTTGTCTCCTCTTTTAAAGTCAAAATATAAAATTAGAGTTGGTCCCACTTCTTGCAAGTTGGAAAAGAGCACGTGGACACAGATAAACAATGGATTGGCGCTCCTCCTCCTCCTCCTCCTCCTCCTCTTAGAGATCCTGTATAAGCAACAAAGGTAATGGTGCTCTCAACCAGCCTCCAGAAAGTGCACCTGAAGAACTTGAATGGGAAGCCAAAAAAAGGTGCCATCTCAAGAGAGTGAAAAAGACAAGCCACAGACTAGGAGAAAATAATTGCAAAAGACATTTCTGATAAAGCATGTTCCCCAAAATATATAAAGAACTCTTAAAATGCAACAATAAGAAACAACCCAATTAAAAACTGGGCAAAAGATTTGAACCAATACCTCACCGAAGAAGATACAAGATTGCAAAGAAGCATATGAATAGAGGCTCCACATCATGTGTCATCAGGGAAAGGCAAATTAAAACAAGGGGAAATGACTACACACTAGAATGGCCAAAGTCCAAAACACTGACAACATCAAAAGTAGAAGAGGATATGAGGTAATAGGTACTCTCATTTAGTGCTGATAGGAATGCAAACGGGTCCAACCACCTTGGAAGACAGTGGGGTTGTTTGTTACAAAACTAAATAAACTCTTATGTAATCTAGCAGTCCTACTTCTTGGTATTTACAGAAATGACTTGAAAATTTATTTCCACACAAAAACCTACAGATGGATATTTGTAGTAGCTTTATTAATAATTACCCAACCTGGAAGTAACCAAGATATCCATTAGATGAATGGATAAACTGTTGTACATCCAAATGATAGAATGTTAATTGCTAAAAAATGAGCTATCAAGCCATTAAAAGACACAGAGGAACCTTAACTGCATGCTACTAAGTGAAAGAAGCCAATCTCAAAAGGCTCTGTACTGTATGATTTCAACTGTATGACATTCTGAAAAAAGCAAGACTATAGAGACAATAAAAAGGCCAGTGGTTGTCAAGGGTTAATGGGAAGAAGGGATGACTATGTGGAACAAAGAAGGTATTTGGGGACATGAAAATTACTTTGAATGATAGTATAATGGTGGTTATGTGTCATTTGTCCAAATCTATAGAATGCACTCAGCATGAGTGACACCTGATGCATAAACTATGGGCATCCGGGGATGTGTCAGCTAGGTTCAGTTGTAACAAATGTTCCCACTCTGGAGGGGGTGAGGGGAAGCTGATAATGAGGGAGGCTAAGCATGTGTGAGGACAAAGGGCATATGGAAACTCTCTGTACCTTCCTCTCAATTTTGCTATGAACCTCGAACTGCTCTTTGAAAAATATTTTTAAAAAATGCATACATATACAGTAAAATAAATTAAAATATAGTTTAATCTCAAAAGGCATTAAGGAAGCTAATTCAGACCTGACATACATGAGCTGCAAGTGGTAGCTTAAAGTACCATCTTGGATTGCAAGCTACCTTTGGGCAATCTTTACATCCAAGAACTAGTTCTCTAACTTGCAAAATTATCTTTTCCATTATCTCTATGAACTTTTAAAAACCCCCAAGAATTCTTCTTTCACTTTTTAAAAAAAATATGGAATAGTAATATACCTATTATGGACTAGGCATTGTGTGAGACCCCAGTAATACTGCTTCATCTTTTTTTTTCTTTTTTTTTTTTGAAGAGGTTTTTGCTATAGGGTACATGCGCTCATCAGAAAGACAGAGACAGAGAGACAGAAAGTGAGAAATCATCTCCCAGGGGGGATGGCCATGCCGCAACTCCTTCTCCTCCATTCTCCTCTTGGCATCTTAGGCACACATGCACACACGCCCCGCATGATTTTAGACCACCCGGGTCCAGGACTTGAACCGCAGTCGACTACATGGGAATCCAGCAACATAACCATTATGCCAACTGCTAGTCCCTAATACTGCTTCATTGATACTTTTTTTTCATGTTTTAACATCAAAATTTATCTCTCTTAAAATAGGTAGCTATATTATACTTCTTCAATATTTTATTTTCATTATAATATATAATGATATTATACTATTAGCAACTTATATCTCAAAATATGAAGTTTATAAACAAAAGAAAATATGGATCCTCAGCTTAGTAAGGGAGACAGAATTCAATGAACAATTATGCAGATAAAGCTAAAATTATAATCCTGATTAATGTTTGAAAGGATGGTATGGGGTGCAGAGAGAGACATTGGGGGGGGTGAGAAAAGAATTCCTAGAGAAAGTGGCAGTAGCGGAAAAATGAAACTGCAGGAATAGTAAGAATTGTCTAGAAAGAATAGGATGAATATTCCAAATGGAGGGAATATGGGTACCAAGACTCTAGAGTAGAAGAGAATTTGAGATGCAGAGAGATCAGCGTGAAAAACAGTCCAGGGCTAGGGAAGAGTGCAATGTGAGATGAACCTGGGAAGGAAGGAAGGTCTCTGTGAGGCACCCGAGTAGGAGTACCAAAGAAACAGTAGGTTCTCTGCATCAAGAACTTAAAAGGGAATTTCTAGAAAGGAGATAAACTAGAGTCATCTGAATCAAGATAGTAACCAAAGCCATGGGTAAGGATGACATAACTAAGAGATGTCATTCTCAACTTTGGTTTTACTTTAGAATCTTCTAGAAGGCTGAGGTACAGCAGGTTACCACCTATAGTGGTTAAGGCACTGAACTTCCACATGGCTGACTGCAGTTCAAGTGCCAGACACAGCGACTTGAAACTCATGCTGGGTGCATGCGTGTGCAGACCCAAAATCCTGAGAGGAGAATGGAGGAGATGGGATTGTGATGTGGCCATCTCCTGGGAGGTAGCGGGGATTTTTCACTTTCTGTCTCTCTCTCTCTGTCTCTCCAGCAAGTGCATGTACCTACAGCAAGAAATCTCTCTCAAAATAATAATAATAATAAATCTGGGAGGCTTTTAAGAATCCTAATGACAGCCATTTCACAATATATATATATTTCAAAACAATGGGGTATATGCAATAAATACATGCAATTTTTATTTGTCAACTTAAAAGAAATACATTTTAAAAATGCAAATTAAAAAGTTTAGGTCCACATTGGGAATAAGATTCTAGTGATGAGGCTGACCACAAAAACCAATAAAGTAAAAATATCTGTGAGTGAGAAAATACATATATACATATATAATTGTCAGAGGGCACAGACACTCACCAAAACATACATACATATATGTATATATACATGTGTGTATATATGTACACATATATAATTGTCAGCAGGTACGTGCACTCACCAGAGAAAGGAGGAGGAGAGAGAGAGTACCGCCATGCAACGGGATGTTGTCGCAACACATCTTTTTTCCTCCATTCTTCTTTCCTGTCAAGATTTTGGTCACACATACAAGTGCCTGGTGTGTTTTTCAAGCTGCTGGAGCCCAAATTCAAAGTGCAGTTGACCATGTAGGATCTTGTCCCCCTAACCACTATGCTTTGGGGCCAGCCCAAGAAGTAGTTTAAGGATCACAGGCAATTCCCCCAGGCACACTCATATTTGAGCATTATACCTAGGGAGAAGATAAAGAGCAAAAGATGAGGGGCTAGAATGAGGAGTTGAGTACTCCACTCACTGGACTGATGGAAGAGGAAGCTGAAAAGGAAACAAAGAAGGAATGACCAGAGATCAGTGAACGACCGTGAGAATATAGGGTCACAGAAGTCAGCAGGCAACGGGTTTTGGTGGCTCAGCAGTAGCACAGTATTCTGTAAGGCCGACCCATAGGGAGGGTTCCAGGTTTGCATCCAAAGACCTCTCTGAGTATGCCAGGTGTGCAGGTACCCATGATCT